CAGACCTGAAGGGCAGCTAAGGGTCATAGTCTCAGGGGTTCCACCAGGCTCTATCAGACCAACAAATCTGGTCCCCCCCCTTTTTTTTTTTTTTTTTAATGATTTTGAGTTTTGTGGTGTTCTCCTACTCTTTCCAGAATCTCCTACATACATCCCACTCTGAGTGGTTGACACTGGTAGCTGGGCACCATCTAGTTGTTCTGGTTTCATAATCGTATAGGCTGTGGATCGCATGGTGTACCAGCCCTTTGGACTGATCATTTCCATGAGTCCTTGGTTTTCCTCAGTCTTCTCCGCTCTGGGTGAGGAAAGACCCATTGTTGCATCTAGATGGCTGCTTGCAAGCTTTTAAGATCCCAGTCGCTACTCGCCAGAGGAGGATGTGAAACAATGGTTTTGTGTAGTATTGGAACTTTTATTTTTTAAAGAAATAATTCTATGGTGTAAATGCAAAGGGAGGATCCAGATGGCTGTTTAGCAGAAAGCAATGCCTTCCAAAGGCTTCCTTAGCCTTGGTAGTGTGTCGACTGTTTGGAGGGCCAGGACCTAGTCCGCAGCAGCTGACAACAGTTGAGGCGCAGCAGCGCGGCGTCGGTACTCGATGGACGCCTGTGGGTGGGAGGACGCCCGCCCCGTCCCGCACTCAGGGCTTTTACGTGCCCCATCCGCAGGTCCTCTGCCCTCCGCGAGGCCATGCCGGCCTCCTCCACCATCCACGTGCTACAGCTGCTGCGGGAGCTGCTGGCCTTCGTGCTGCTCAGCTACACGGTGCTCCTCGGTGCGCTGCTGCTGGCTGGTTGGACTACCTACTTCCTAGTGCTGAAGTGACAGCGCCCTGGCTGCCAGTCCCCGCCCTCACCGTCGCGCGCAGCCCCCGCCCCTCACAGCTGCCCGGCTCGAGGCGCGGTCCTTCCCGGCTGCAGTTCCATGCCACCCTTTGCGACGCTGGACTCCGCTCCGTGGACTCCGCGCCCTCAGGTCCAGGGTCTCACCCACCCACCCCGCGCAGAAGCTCCGGCGGTTGGGCGCCCGGCGGGGTCGTTACAACCGTTATCTTAGGCCCCGCCTCCTCCTTCTGTCTGACCAATCCCGGCTGCTCCCTTAGGGGGCGTCGTCAAGGGCGAGGACCGCTCCGCTGGAAGAGGCCACCCCCCGCCTCGCTACGCAGGCTCACTTCCGGCGTCTGCGTCCGGCATTTCCCCGCCTTAGGATGGCGGCTCTGAGGAGTTGGCTGTCGAGGAGCCTCACCTCCTTCTTCAGGTATCGCTGCAGCAGAGTAGGAGGGCAGGGACAGAGGGAGGCGGTGCAGAGAGCGGTACAGCTGGGAGCGCGGCGCCGCCCTTGCTTGCGTGCTCTTCGCTCGTCGTCGGAGCCGGCCCCTGTTTCCGCCGCCCTAAGACGTCTGTGACGGCCCCAGGCCCCAGCCAGACACCTTCCGCCCCCTTGGTCAGGCCGAGGGTCATTTCCTACGGGCAGTTTCTTAGGGATTCCATCTACTAAAAGTGCATTACCCAAACCACGGGTTGTCTTTTCGAGGTCCCGTTGGCCCATAGAAGTCGCCGAGAAGAGTTCGGCGAGGATGGGAGAGCGTCCCAGAAGGTAGCGGACTGCTGACGTTTTCCCAGAGGCCCTGGTCGCCCTGTCTCGGGATGCATCCAGGGGCTCGGCTTCAGGTGTTGTCTAGCGGGGCTATTAGAGACACTGGGCCAGATTCTGTACGCAGAAGCGTTAGTTTTTGGCATCAGGTGTTTGGAAGGCTCTGAAACAACATTTAAACTTCCTCAGCTGTTACCTGTTGAAAATTCTGAGTCCACTGGGCCCGCATTCCTCCCTAGCGACGGCTCGCTGGAGCGAAGTAGCAGTTGCCCTTTGAGGGGTCAGGGGCTTACCCCTCCACCACGCTCCCCACCCTGCCCTGTCATCCGGAAGTGGGCCCTACATCTCGCTGCTCCGCTGAGTTTGAGTTTCCAATCCCCTCAAGTAAATGGAAGAGAATTTTACAAAGACTGGTGATTCCGTTGTTAAATTTGGTTTCTGTTTGTAGGTACAGACAGCGTGTGCCTGTCAGGGCAGTCTTTGGGAAGCGCTGTTTCTCAGAATTGGTAAGACCGTGGCACAAAACTGTGGCAGTCGGAGTTGGTGTGACCCTGTGTGCGGTTCCGATTGCACAGGTAAGGGACTGTAGTGGGACTCGGTGTTTTTTGTCTTAGGGACTGGGTGCACGTCTCAAGGGGGCAGTGAAGAATCAGACATGCGATTACAGTTTCACCTCGTGCTTACACACAGCCCCCTCCTCCAAATGGTAGTGAGCTTTTTACTGTACCAGCTGCTGCTGTTCAGAGTCAAGTAATTAATACGTATTCCTTTTTTGATTGTCTTGTTTGGTAGGAACAGCTTGTCGATTTGTATAACGAGGGGAAAAGAGGAGTAAGAAGGACATATTACAGTTATAAACAAAATAGTTTTTCATTAACCAAAGTGTATTGAGCAGTGTTTATGTGCCATACACTGGGAATGGAAAAGTGAGCAAAACAGTTCTTACTCTCATCGAATTGATATTTTGGCAGGGTGGAAGAAGAGAAAATAAAACAAATATAAGATGTCAGGTGGTGAAAAGTGCTGTAATGAAAATTGAAATAGAGTAAGAAAATGGGGAGTGTCAGGAGGGCGTGGTTTTATGTTAGGGTGGTCAGGGAGAGCTTCTCTGAGAAGATGATAATAAGTGGAAATCTGAATGACCTGAAAAAGCGAGCCATGATAATACAGGCAGACCTCAGAGATACTGCAGGTTCGGTTCAGTTCCAGACCACTGCAATAAAGCAAATGTGACAATAAAGCGAGTCACACAGATGTTTTGGTTTACCAGTACGTATAAAAGTTGTGTTTATAGTATAAGCTATTAAGTGTTATGAGAATTGACCAAAATGTGACACAGAGACATGAAATGAGCATATGCTGTTGGAAAAATGACATTAATGGACTTGGTCAAGGCAAGGTTGCTACAAATCTTCAATTTGTGGGGGGAAAAAAAAACAACACAGTATATGCAAAGCATGATAGAGTGAAATGTGGTAAAATGAGGGGTTCCCATATCTGAGGGAAGAGCTTTCCAGGCAGAAGGATTTTGCTTGATGTGTTTGAGGAACATCGAGGTCAATGTGACTGGAGTGGAATGTTGCAGGGAGAGACTAGTTGAGGCCAAAGAAGATGAGGATCAAATTATGTGCTTTGTATTTTGTGGGCCATTGTAAGGCTCTGCATTTTATTCTGAAAAAGAAGCCATAGAGGATTTTAACATGGGGTCATTATGATCTTACATAAATTTAAAAAGTTTAAAGGTTTTATAAGCTTGCTGTGTGGAAGTAGGAAGACCAGTGGGAGGCTGTTGTCATATTATGGGTTTTAGATGATAGTGACTTTGACTGGCATGGTGGTAGTGGTGATGGGGAGAACTTGGCTTAATCTGATGGACAAGAGTTGCTTTTTAAAAGCCTGAGGTCCTCTGGTGGCATAGTCCCTAAGGCATCTGACTGCTAACCAGAAGGCTGGCAGTTCAAACCCACCAGCCACTCCTCAGAAGGAAGGTTGGGCAGCCTACTTCCATAGTGATACTGCCTCAGAAACCCAAGGAGGGGTCGCTATGGGTCGGATCTGACTCCATAGCAGTGAGTTTGGTTTGGTTTGAAGGTCCTTGAATCAGTCTTAGCAGAAGTACAGCCAAAATACTCTTTAGAAGGAAGGATGGCAAGGTTTCATGTTGTGTACTAGTTCCTGGAGAAGGACATCATGCTTGGTAAAGTAGAAGGTGAGCAACAAAGAGGAAGCCCCTCAACAAGATGGACTGACACAGTGGCTGCAGGCTGCAGCAGTGGGCTCAGACATGTCATTGATTGTGAAGATGGATGGTGCAGGACCAGGTAGTGTTTCATTGTGTTGTCCGTGGGGCTGCTGTGAGTCATGATTGACTCAGTGGTGCCTAACAACAATGATAAGTCCTTGAATGGTGCAAAGAGTGTGTACTTGGCCGGTAACTGAAAGGTTAACAGTTTGAACCCACCCAGAGGTACTGCAGAATAAAGACTTGGCAATCTGCTTCCCTAAAAATTACCAAGAAAACCCTAAGGAAAAGGAGGGTGAGAATGATTGCACAACTCACCAAATGCAGTCAGTGTCACTGAATTGTATGTGTAGAAATGGTTGAATTGGTGTATATTTTGCTGTCTATATTCTTATTAGCAACAACAGAATTTTTAAAAAAATAATAATAAAGAAAACCCTAGGGAGCAGTTATACTCTGTAACACGTGGATCAGCACGAGGCAGGGTCAACTAAGGGCTCAAGACAACAAGCAACTGAAGAACGGAGTTGCAGTCGCCATTTACTGGGATGGACAGGAGTGGGTTTCGGGAAGACAGTGGCAAGAATTTAATCTTGGAGATGTCAGTCTGCAATGTCTTAGATACCTGGCAAGTAGGCAGTGGATGTGAAAGGAGCACCTCACTTAAGAAACCACTGAGTTTTTATGGGGGAGTGCTAGATGGGAAATGAGCAAGCCCCATTTCAGCGGTATTTATG